CTGAGATCGATGGGTGAGATCCCGATGCAGTCGTAAAAGAGGAAAAGCAACGGTCGGCAATCATCTCAGATTAGTATCTAGGCGGTTAGATCATCGTAGAGTAGAAGCCAAAGAACGAAAACATCAGAGACAAACGGATGTTACGGAGATCAGTGCGATTATAATGGCAATCACATATCAAGGGTACCGAGGAAAAAAGATAAAATTCACAAAAAGTAAGTTTCGAGAAAGTTAATTTGAAAGTTTGGCAACTCCTAGAATGGTTCTCTCGTCAAAAAAAACGAAGGTCGAGCAATATCTATTTTTCTCGTTTCCGGCGTTTATATCTGCCGCAACTGGACCGATTTTCAAAAACTACAAATCTTTTGCGTCCTTGGCATAGTAGTAACATTTTATAAAAATTTCGTCGAAAGTTATATGGAGTCATAGGATTAGCGGTCAGAACGACAGACAGACAAACATGTCATGAATACCATACAGTATAACATCCAAAAAACATAATAGGTACCTCGTTTTCGAAAATTGTCGCGATTACAATTCAAGTCTGATATTTGTCTATGAGAAATAAAATAATAGCATATATAATGATCTTGAATTCAATTAAACGCTATTCCAACAGTATTCCAGGTCAGTTGGAAAACCGACCCTCGCGTAGATCTGTTTACATCGCCAGATTTGAATCTCGAAATGGTCTCAGAGCCTGCTTCTGACAACAATACTCACGGAATTCTCTGCAAGCAGGTTCTAGCGTTCTAGGCTGGAGGATTTCACAAAACGAACCTTTCAACATTTAAATTCAATTTATATACGTTTTATAAAGCAGGACGCTGAAAAACTCATATTCCCTTGCCAGCTGCGAATTATTCTGATATACATTTAAATAGAGCTCGGCTGACCGACATAAACCTAACCTTGCACAACGTGTTAAATGCTTACTCGAAATCACCAGCAGGATCTAATAACGCTCTCTCAAAACAGAGCGAAAATATCTATCAAAAGTATAAAGTTTATACAAAATAATTACATGAAACAGCATTTCGATAGACGTTTTTATATAAAAAGAATATACAGGGTATTCCTCAATGATATGCGAATACTTAACGGTGTGAATCTACAAGAAAAATTACAGTGGACCCCCGATAATCTGGCCCCTGTCTAATCCGGCGCCCCCTGTAATCCGACATGTCTTTGAATATGTATTACATACATACGTATTTGACAATCTTCGCTAATGTAGATCACGCAGGTTTGAACAGGTTACAACTTGTACGCGCCACCGCTATCGTGCTCGACGCGTAAGCATTGTTTTACTTAGTTTGAATTTGACTACTTGTGATAGCGATAAGGCCTAGCGTGCGTTAATTGTTTACTATTTATTCATTGTGTTTTAAATATAGTACCTAGTAATGTCATCACAAACCCAGAAGCGAAAGCACAAAACATTGACAATTAAAGAAAAATGTGATATTTTAGACTGCTTAAATAGCAAAGAAACTTTCAGTAGTTTAGCAAGTGAATACGGCGTAGGCCGATCTACAATTTATGACATTAAAAGAAACCACGACAAGATCAAGAAGTTCGTGTCAACTACTGACTGCGGGCCAGGCAAGAGACAGACACTCTAGGAAGCTGAACATCCAGAAGTGGAAGAAGCTTTGTACATGTGGTTTCTTCAGGAAAGAAATACGCATGCACCAATTTCAGGACCCATGTTGGCCATGAAAGCTAAGTTATTTTATAAGGAAATAACAAAAGAATATGACTTTGTGGCCAGCAAAGGATGGCTAGAACGTTTTAAAAGTCGTCATGGCATACGTTTAATGACTATTACAGAAGAGAAACTTTGTAACGATGCCACCTGCATAGAGCTGTTTAAATTAAGATTTTTGCAAAAGGTGTACGATTTAAATCTTGACCCGTCTCAGGTGTACAATGCAGACGAATCAGGGCTTTTTTGGCGTGTGTTGCCTAAGAAAACTTTCGTTTCTTGTAACGAAAAATCCGTACCTGGATGAAAAGTAAGTAAAGAGCGTGTAACCATACTACCATGTGCTAACGCTGCGGGCACTCACGGGCTTAAGATGGTGGTCATTGGGAAATCTAATGAACCACGGGCATTCAAAAACATTGATTTACCTGTACACTATTACAGACAAAAAAGTGCATGGATGACAAAAGACCTTTTCAAAAAGTGGTTTGATGAATGCTTCGTACCTGAAGTTAGAATATCGTTAAAAGATCATAATTTTCCTTAAAAATCGTTGTTGCTTCTTGATAACGCTCCCGGTCATCCGTCTGAAGAAGAACTAACAACTGAAGATAAATGCATTACTGCGATTTTTCTTCAGCCTAATTGCACTGCACTGATTCAACCAATGGACCAGAATATCATTCAATTTGTCAAGCAAGACTATAAGAAAAATCTACTTCTGAGAGCCGTATCAAGAGATTAACCAATAGAAAAAAACTTTAAAAGAATTTAATATGTATGAAAGACTTGGTTTTTGCTCTTTGTCAGTCGTGGAATGCGTTACCGTCATCAACTATTAAATCGTCTTAGAAAAAGTTATAGAAATATGGAAAAATATAGTCACCACTCCTAGCGACGTTACACAAATCAGTGTTATTTCTGAAGTTATAGAACAAGGCGCTACTGAAACACAGATGAGTCCGGAAGATTTGGAAATCTGGTGCCGTGCAATGGATAAAGACGAAAACGTTTTTCATGAAATGTCTGACGACGAGATTATAAAAGAGGTTTCTAATTATACAACAAACAATCAGGAAAATAACGACGACCTGATTGCAACTGCTCCACAAGTCACATCACAAGACGCTATTAACGCCTATGAGCTGAGTTTACAATGGGCTGAAGAGAATGGTACATCCTACAACGAACTTTTACTTTTGAGAAGACAGGGACAAAACTCTGATCTCGCGTTATAACAACGTTAAATAAACAAAAAATTGACGAATATTTCCAAGCTTCATAATTTGATAAATTCATTAATGATTTTGATTAATAATTCTTGATTATTTTGGTACATATGTATGTGCATTTATGCTTAATTTTATAATAAAACGTAAGCTCTCTATTGTTATTTAATTTACTAAATTCGACATACATAAACTATGTATGACTTGTACTTCAAAGTACATACATATACATCGAAAAATATGTATACGTAACTCTATTAACTTTCACTACGTACTAAATATCAGTGAAATATCTGAAGCGCTTCTGAAAATATTAATTAATTTCCATTTTTTTCCTAAAACTTCAACACCTTGAGTTTTTGTAAGGAAACATTTTTGGACCATAGTTTATAGATTAAACTAACATTAATTTTTCATATAGATTCACACCATATATAAGTCGAGAGTTCAGTTCAAATTTATTCATCTGTAGCAAAAATGACGTCGTGTATTGCTTTATATCAGCTTCGCATTCGTTATTAAAACAAAAGGATGAGTCAAATATAGGTATAGGAAGTAAAAAAGCACACATTTTACCCGTTTTATGTATTTGCGCTATATTTCTTGACATTTCCTTCATCAAAACAGAATAACTTCTTTATAATATACGCAAAACTTTCTTCATCGTTCTTAACAGATCCAGCAAACTATAATTCACTTTGAAGTGTCTCGCAACAATGTAAGTGTTGTAGTAACGCACAACTTCGGCAAATCGTATTTATCCGCAAACGAAGTAATCTTACACTCAAGTTGGGCTTCTCGCTAGACGAGAAAACTTTCCACCGGGATTTTCTTCTCCAATTCAGACAAAGCTAATGATTCTATATTACAGATCGCTTTTATGCTTCTCTTTTGAAAGGTTTTCTTGATAGGCTATGGAAAATTTCCACTTATTTTCAGTACTGTCACTGCCAGATAAATAACAGCAATTTACGGAAAACATTTTTTTACAACGATGTCGGCAAACATTTTAGTCAACAACTGTCATTGTTGATTCAATAAATAATAAAAAATAACTCGACCTTTTTTGTTGTTCTACTCGACCGAGGACAAACATTTTCATACTACTTTATATTTTGATGGCAAATTATATTTTTGTTTTACTACAAACCTTCAGTGAAATTTATTTGTACAACCGATGAGGTTTATTTTATAGTTTAATGCTCTACCATTTCAAATGATGCATGCAAACAACGCAGCCAAACAAAAAACACGATAGTATAGTTGAAATTCGGTATATGCAAGGACAAAAAAATAATCAATATACATCTTTAGCTTTTATGCATGCATAACAGGCACAACTTAAGAATAATTATGATATAGGCGTGTGGTTCGTAATCCGACCAGTTGTCACTTCCATTATTTTTAATTGTACTCATTATGGATTCATTAGGATCCTCATGTGTCTTAACCCCTTGTTTAGCGAATGAAAAGCTAATACAGAATCGTTTTTGTTTCAGCTGATGAAATGTTTTTTCTTATACCTGAGCTTACAGTTTTTTCATTCTATTGTTTGTTGTACGATAAATAAATTATTTTGTTGATTGTCTATTGTTTTTTCTGAAACTTATAACAAATAAAGTCTTTCCATTATATATTATTTATAATCTACTCGTGCATACTATTCGTAAATATACTTATTACAAGAATTATCAAGTGCAATTAAGACTACTTGAACTTTCAAGGACTTGACAGATACATGTAAAAACTAGTTGACGTAATATTAATATCATATCACTTGACTGAAGCTCGACTTGATTTCAAGTCAAGTCAAATGAAGTAGATTGAAAATCAAGTTAAGCTTATCACATCTCAGATTCTGCACTTATAACTGTAGTTCACCATTCTATTTTTTCGCTCAGTTTGTTGCTAGACAAGTGAGGTAGTTTTGACGTCACAGAAAACGAATCTCATTTTACAGAAAAACAGAACATAACCATAGCTGCTCAAGTGGAATAAATTATGACGTATCAAAAAAGGGACACTATAAACGGCTCGCACTGTATCACATCCATTTTACTTACCAGTAGCGTTAACAGGACTATAAGCCGCATCGTGGTTAATGTTTCTTAGATTCCACCTTGCATTTAGTGTATCTTCTTTTGGGGGCCATTAAAGATATCTGAAAGTGAGAAAATACAGTACATGAAATAACTGTCAAGTAATAAGAAGAAAACAAGACCAGGTGATGATGGTAACAGAATATCTATCACCGATAAGGTGACCTACGAAAAAACAGAACTGGTCGTAGTAACACATCTCGTTTTAGATAGGGTCCGAATACCGACAGTATCTTTTTGGATGTCGGAATGATGGATGGTCGGATGTGTCAGCGCAATCAAGATTCATTTGTCACAATGGATGCGACGATCCATTAGAATGGAAACGAGCCGAACGGACCGACACGTTTTTCTATTTGGCTGTTTATTAAATTAACATATCGCTCTCATAGATGCATCGATAATCTCTATCACTTTCGGGTGTTAATTGCTCGCACAGAAATAGTTCATTTTATATGATATGTCCAATAACTGTTCAGCGTTTGTATTGTACATTTTTAAGTATCGGAAGTAATTACACAAGTGCATCAAAATTACCTATATTTTTTTTAATATACATTAAGTTGGCAAGTACATAAAAATTACAGAAAAATTGACAAACTACAATGAGACAGAACTTATCAAAAGTAAAAATTGCCGGAAATGCAGTTTAAAACACAGTTGTAAAAATTAGTATTTTTGGAGTATGCTGCACAACTTGCGGTGTATTCGAGTTTGCTATTGAATTATAACTTAAAGAACTCACTGTAGGCATATTAGCTTCATTAGTTTCTTTATTAGGGTTAGCAGTATTATTCTCCCATTTTTTTACTATGCTTGAATGGTGTTCCTGCTCCAATTGGAGATATGGCTATATGGATTTCGGATTTGAATGTCCAATAATTTTTATCAACGTATTCTCTTCAACCCCTTTCTTTGCTCAGTTAAAAACAGCTGTTAGGGGTAGTGAATGATTAGTTATGTTTACCTTTTCAGTCGCCAAACCTGACTTTTAGGTCAGTGAGAATATTTTCCAGCGTCGGTATTGTAGTGTTTTCTAAGCTATAATTTTTTTCTTCGGTAAAATCCATAAACGGTCTTCAGATATACTGATGGTCCAGTATTGTATTTCTAGGTTTACTTTTCATCGCTTGTTCTTGACTTAAACTAAAAGAACCATTTCCGAAACGTGACTTTAAAGCGACTTTTAAAATTCAATGTTTATGCATGTCAAGATGACAAATGCACATTTCATCAATCGTAACTATAGATATCCAACTAAAGGGGCATTTTCGATACCTACTGGGAAATGTTCACTGTAATGTTGTGATAATAATATAAATAGAATGATTTCTGAAAGTGTCCTTTTTGTTAAGACACCTTATTTGATAGCGATAAAATTATTGTCACATTGAACAGGACTTTTTTTATCTGATTCATTATCCACGGTTATCAATGTTTACTTTAACGGACAATGTTTTTCTGTAGAACCAAAAAAAGGGAACGTCCAGAAAAGTAATAGTAAATGAACTACAAATCAAAGTTCTTTAAAAAAGACATTTTACAACGGTCTTCTGTCATTTCCATGCGTCATGACTGTTAGGTAAATAAGATTGGGCCTTGAGTTAATACACCACTTTTCATTCAGGCCTTAATGACACGAGTTTAATATTATAGAAAACCGACTGCCTTACGATGTAGAACGTTTCTCTTAAATAATAGACAGTGGATCTGCATAACAAAATTACGATACAATGCAGCCTGTTAACATACGATTGCCTTCAATGAACGCTTTCAGACTGATCCCTTTCCGTCCCTTCTGTATAGATTAGGACGACCGACATCTATCCTCCGTCAATCGACATCACTCCGGTTTGACGAGACTTAATTCCTGACCTGTGGCCTACGGAACACCGACATCAGCTTGTCCTACAGTCACTGCCTCCCGATCCCAACGCGAACCCTGTCAAATCCCTTCGGCAGGGCTGACAACATCCAACGGATTATCTCGGTTCTGTTTGCCAGCCGATTGTCGGCATCAGCTCGAACTTTGGCCTCAAAGGATCTCGACGTCCGAATGTTCCTGTCGGATACAGTTCAAGTTAACTTGTAGCATGATTTTACGTCATTAAAATTGAAATTATAGTCGATTTAACAGGTGCGTAGAATTACGTGGTCGGAAACGTATAAATTGTAACCTAGCAAAATATTGACATACACCTCCCCCACCCCTACAATTCCCAACATCAGATATTTAATCCCCGCAATTTTTTCTGAAAATGATCAGGAGCCTCTGAAGCGTCAAAAAACGAAATCTTCGCGTTCTTAACGGTCTAACCTTTTCGTGCTTTCGCTGGGAGCTCTGCCGCCACTGGTGCGATTTTCAGAATCTTTTTTTTTCCTTGTTATAGTAGTAACCTTGTGTGAAAGTTTCATGCAAATCTGAGCAGTACTTTAAGTTATAGGCGGTTATAAAGTTAGCGCACTCACCGACCGAAATGAGTTACATGGTTTTTCATGATGTATCTACATGTGATCCAAAAAATATAAGTACTCATTTACTCTATTCCAATACTTCCCAGTGTGGCGCCGATAGTAAAAAAGTTTATAATTACCACTAAGCATTGAAGCTTCTATAAAAGCAATTACTTGAGGATTATTACCGAAGAGAGTTTGGAATCGATTGCAAAGCCTCGAAATATTGAATATGCATCCCCAATTGCATGTCGATCATCAATATTAACTGCGACTAGACCTCCAGAAGCTAGCTAGAACAAGATATACTGTGTTTCACTAAAACTCACGGAATTCTATTGAATTGCAATAATAATACTCTAAAACGTAATACGAACGAACGGCTCAAAGATACCTTGTTAACGCGTCGAACCATTAGAGCTGGCAAAATCTAGTCACCATAGAATCTCAGTACCACAATGAGAGCGTAAATGTGCCAATGTTTGTTTGGAAGAGAATTGTCACCCAATCTCGGATTAAGTATAAACAAAGTAGCAGGACGTGTACGAGCAAGATGATGTCCTCGACAAGCCGTAACAAATGTACGATAAAACGAATCGAAACTAAATAAAAATACAGTTTCTGTGAAGCAGTATAGCTCTGGTATTATAGGATAATTGTGTTAGCAATTTTGGTCGAAAACGAAAAGTACAATCAGTGCCATGTCGGTTTGACTAATGAGAATAGTACACGAAAGTGCAAACAGTCGCAATCAATCATTTTTAACTAGTGCGCGGTGGTCTGATCATGTTGTTTCAGTGAATTATTACTTGTGCAAATACGAAAAGGTGCTTGAGCGTAGCATACATGCAATGACGTGTAGGCATCACGCTGTATCGCAATTATGTGATAGGTTGCCACGTGCAGAGCGGCCGGCTTTGCGGTCTATGCGGCTAACCAAAAGAAAATTGCTTGATAGCCTGATGGTGGAATTGAGTGATTTTTAAGTGTGGGGTTTCGATGTCTTTGATACATGGACAAAAAGATTTCTAACACTTGTTTTAGGTGTACCTTGGCGACTGCGTCATTATATGAAAAAACGTCATTAAAAAATATATACAGGACAACATTGCAAACGATATAGTTGCATCATGTAAAATAAGCCTGTCTTGGATGTAGGTTTATCTGCTTACTTTATCTGTCACTACATGCACTTTAGATCGATTTATATTCTTATGCGATGTAGTATATAAACGTTAATGAAAGTAATGTTTCGAAATACTAAAGAACATTGTCGACAAAACATACCAAGCGATACATTGTGAAAAGGTATAGGTAAAATTGACCGTAGGTGAAGCGTTGTTGCCTATGTACACTACTATCTTTCTTAATACAAAATAAGCTGCATCACTTAAATCGAACTAAGATTTATACTTTACCTATACGCTTGTCAACATTCTTTCTCATAGTTCTTCGGTTATTAACATATATATGAATATGCATACAATACCTAGCAACTGGTACCTCTGCCTGCTAGTGTATCTGCAATTCACTTTCCATTTGTGATTAAGATTAAAGCTTGTCTCTAACACCGACAACCAATCCTCAGTACATTGACGCATTGGATACATTCCAGATAAGACGAATTGTTTTTATATGTTGTGATTTGGTCGCTATGTCCCAACAAGAGCCTAACCATTTAACAAAAATGACATGATGTACAAATTAATATTGAGTAGTGGTAGTAGTAGCATTTGTAAAGGTTAAGCTTTACAGATGAGACTTTTGAAAAACTTTATAAAATTGATTAAATTCTTTGAATTGCTTTTATAGAGCCCATGGTCATGTTAGTACTTTATTTCTTCTTTATATATGTGGCTGTACAATCAATTATCACGGCTCAACTACAATACGGATAGACATAAAAACTTGTACACAATCACGATTTTAAAAATATTCAACTGCCGCGGCAAGTACCAAAATCTCCACCGTCAGCATTAAGCCGGCAACAGCGCGGATTTCCATCGCCCCACTCAACCTGTGACCGTCAAGCCATACAGAGGTGTTATTTTGAAATAGCTGTTTTCCGCGGCTTGGTATTTTGTCTGATTTTAAATACTGCTATAAACACTTCCTATCACGTTTTATATCCTTGATGGTAAATTTGATTAGTGTATTACCTAAATTTTCATCTGGTACAACCGCGGAAAAAAGCTAGTGTTATATAATGCTGTTTTAAAATCTTGTCTAATTCAAAATGCTTTCATGAAAACATATTTTGCATATCGTTAATATCGTTCGTGTCGGTAATTAAATGTTAAGAGCGTCTGCTTGTATGGAGCTCGTATACCATTAATTTTCTTTAAAATGAACTTTTCCACCACTCTTTGCTTTAGACGTCTCTCAAAGGAGTAACTGGAAAAACAACTGGAATATATCTAAAAAGAGATAAGAGGGAATATTTAAATAAATAGATGCGACAGATTTTTTCAAATGCTGTAACATGAATATAATGATTTCAACTTTCACAAATATTAGTACAATACGGTGGTGTTTGAAAATTGTGAGACTTAGTGAAGCTTGTAATTTACTAGAATGCTCATCAAACTGTGTCATTTTTTGTAATCCTGCTGTTAATACATTCAAATCATTGTCAGCTAGCACCTATCTGAGTGACATATTAGGTATACTCACAGCAAAAGAAATTTTAATGAATGATGTTTGATCATCAAGTACTTTTTTCTAATAGTACGCTTCTTATTGCGACTTACGATCCTGGAATATCTGTTTGTTTTTTCTAATCGGAGTAAAAAGATTTGTATGCAATTCGGAAGCGTGAGAAGGGCTGTAAATCTGTTTGTCGCAGACCGGAGCGCTACAACCACTTAAAACAAAACGAAGATTACGCTGTGTTTGCCTACTGCCTTTTTTCATTGCTTATTTTGTACCAACCTGATATTTACATTTCTGTTGGATGAACACTACATTTCAGAAAGCTTCTTATCCCTTGTTTACTTTTCTCCAAGTCTTAATCTGATGACAAATATTTTATCAGATTAAGGCAAGGTACCGAAAAGAGCCGAATAGCTTTTGGTACAATTAAAATAATATTAATCCAAGAACATGTTTATGTTCACCTTATACAATATTAATTCGTACATCAGGTAACTACTGACACAATATCGTCAAGCGACACGGACAGCGTAAATCTTTCTAATTAGCAACCGTAGCTCGATATACAGGGTGACCCAACGAAAAGGTCGCACCACTATTTGTGACCCTCCTGGTATATTTTTGAAAAAACGCTCGGACACGTCGATTTTTATTTCTAGGGGGACATATTTTTATCTATAGCCGTACAATACAGGGTGATTCAAGAATAAGACGTTATACTCCCATTTATTTAATTTTTAGATTTTCCATGAATATTTAGTAACATTTGTATAATAAAGTTAATACCTATCTTCAATCCTTGTGAAGCTATTTGAGTTTCCATAGTAACAAGACTTTACTTTAAAATTAAAATCAAGTCTCCGAGTATTAAAAAAACTAAAAACGACTTACACTTTACATGCACATTAAAGTAAACATTAATATGCTATAAAGAGGTAGACCAATGTGGTTATAAGCGCTGAAAGTGGTGTACGTAAGGCCGTATGCCGCATATCGAAACGAATACTCATCCAACACAAAAAATATAGCGACAAATGTAATTCGCGTCAAGTTGAGTAGGCGTTCTTTCCGTGTATGTTTTGAGCCAGAACCGCTAATCACTTTGGACACTAGAACCGCAA